GGGGGAGCTGGGTTCGTGTTGCACGATACAATTCAATATTCAGTTATACGTACTATTTTCGGCGAGGGATGGGGGTCGTTACACGATACCATTCAATATTCATTAATACGTATTATGCTAGATATTATTATGAGATACACTATCGGCACAAATACATGGAATACCAGCCGATAACTCTTCGTTTGATTAATGGGAGGGAGTTAAGAACATGTGCACCCAGTATTGATCTGCGCCTTATTTCTCTTTTTGATTGATTTAAACATATTTTTATTTATTTGCATCTATTACATATATACTATCGGTACAGATACATGGAATACCAACCGATAACTCTTCCGAATGATTCTAGGGAGGGAGTTACCAGTACTCTCGGATGAAGACATGTACAACGCCTTTATATTTATACCTTACCATCGATGTCTCAGTAATAAAAAAAACGTGGCCTAAAATATATCGATGGAAAAAAAAGTTTACCCTTGTGCACCCCCAGCCTTGATCTGTCCCTGATTTCTATAACGTTTTATCTTTTTTATTTATCTGTTTATTTTATAATCTTTAGTATAGGAGGAACATATTTCAATAATCATCACTAGCATCGCACATTGACAGGTACGACTTATGAAATTGTTGCACGATACCATTCATTTTTTTCAGTAATACGTAAAATGTTCGGCGAAGGAGCAATGATTTCTGTTTAAGCCGGGATATGCAATTAGAATGTCGATAGATGTGGTTCGAAATAAATGTAAAAGCCCCGTGTAAATCTGTCATTTGATGTATTTGAATATAATATTATCCCGGATCCATATATACGGCTAGAGTTCAGCAAACAAATGTCAGGTTGCCCACCCCCAGCCCTCCCCTCCCCTCCCCTNCCCTCCCCTCCCCTCCCCTCCCCTCGGAACTCGTTGGACTGAAAATTTGTCAAAACTTTTCCATAGACAACTGCAAAGCATACTGACCTATATAAATCTTGATTTAAACATGTTTTTACAATAAAATATAAATATGTATTGATTTCTCTTACATTGTATTTTTTTTTTATCTATCTTTTTTATAGTCTTCAGTATAGGAGGAATGTTTTATAATAATCACCATTATCATCGTCTATTGACAGGCGCGACTTATGAAATTGTCAACTAGAAAATAAAATTCCTGTTTAAGCTCACGAATGTACTTATTGACCCTAGTTGTAACAGGCAACATTTACTTGAAGTTCATGAAAAAAATGTCTGCATGCAAGTTCTGTTCACTCGGATGAATAGATGTGTGACGTATTGCAACATCCAATCAGATTATACAACGCAAAGTTCGTGCAGCCGATGGGTACAAAAGGGCGCGTGCGGCGTTTGTCACCAGTCCAGCCGACGTCCCTGCTCACCAGTGTCTACCGGCGTGGCTCAGTGTAGAAGCCCAAAAGGTAAGATTTCATTTCATTTTCGAGAATAGCAAATGTACTTATTTCTTAATACTTACTCGATAGAAGTATATGTATTTGTTCTGGGTTTAGATATACGTGCCTTTTATTGCTTTGTGTATGCCGGATATGTGGAATTATTGGAATTTAGAACTGTTTAATAACATTCTCCGTTTACTCGCGTTGTCGTACGAAAGTTTCAGTTCCTTCATAAATGCATCGACAGTGCTATAAATTGTTCTGTGGAAGTTTTTTAACATTCGTGCTTATTTTTATTGGTTATGAGATATTGAAGTGAAAAAACCCTTGCATAGTACATTATTTTTATATACAGCGCTATACGAAAGAATTTACAACGGAAACATATACTTACATTATATTGCATTGTAGTTCTGTAGAACACTGGTTTCACTTGAAATGCACATTCCCTATAGAAAGTTGTCGAAACGGAACTCGAAATTAACACCGAGGTAATTCTGAAATGCTAGCATGTATTTAGGCGCCATATTTGGCGTCCGTCCAAAACGTTAGTTCAGGGATTGTTTCTGAATCCAGAATGTTTTTGTAGATGTGCAATTCATACTTGCTATCTTTTTTGAAATTTCCATGGAGTTTCTGCATGCTCAAAATTACAACATAAATAAAATTTCTGTATGCACCCCTTGGAGACAAAATAACCCTTTAAAATGACAATTCAAGTTCTTTCACATGATCGTAAGATCTTTGAATATAGGAATAGTTTAGCAGATTCACTGGTTGAAAACACTAAATTTTACGGTCCAAAATCGAGACTTCCTCCTAAATATTTGGGAATGGCAAAAGCATGGCAATTTGGGCTTTAACATTCCTAAGGTTAAAGTCGAATACTATTACTAAAACAGTTGCTAACTCCCAAAGTTTTTATAGTTTTGGTCTTGAACAAATTAATTGTCCCCGGCCGATAATACAAAAACAAATATTTAAGGTGGTAGATAGTATTGGTTGATATCCTACATGACTAACACTATATTACCTGAATCCTGAAGTCTTGATGTGGGCAATGGTCAAGGTTACTGTTACTAAAAATAGAATCAAGAGGTACTTTCAAAAGTACGTTTTATGGCTTTCTTGTAAGAGTTCATTTCGTATTGCTAATTGTAAAATGGTGGATATCCTAAATTAATCATACCATATTACCCAGATTCCAAAATCCAAGATGGCTGCTGTCCATTTCCTCTGATGGACAAAGACATTATAGTTGTTGGTAAATGATAATGGCTGTGTAGGAACTAGAATCCATATCCATTATCAAACTTGTTGGACATCATTCCTCATACGAGATTGTCCCTCGTATGTGATCATTTAGACCAAGCGTTATTATTAGGGTAAGACATCCAAGATGGCGCACATAGCAGCCATCTTTGATTTGAAATTCAACATGACTGTTTATGGCAGCCATTGTGTAATTTCATCACCAATTTACATTTTGATTGTGTCGATTCCAATAGAAAGGATTACCCAAGACCTGCTGTTAAAGGTCCCTGGGTGATTTCTAACTGTTATATTTGATATCAAATTCATAGTGGCTAGACGTGATTTCAATGTTAAAATTGTCTATCTGATTTAGTGAAAACTTGAAGTAACGGGCCACAAAGTATTGCTATTTTCTTCTTCCAATTAAAACTGACGTGCTATCCTGAAACATGCTGCACAATAATAAGTTTCTGTTAACCATTTTGATTTAAATTTTTAATCTACCACTTGGATTCTGTTGTATCATAAGGCATCCTTGGGGCAAAGGAATTTTTAAGTTATAGAGCTCAATAAATCAAAGTTGGGGTTGGCTGCACATGTCATTTGTTAAGTAGACTAGAGTGTTTTCTGTTTCTAATCTGTCATGGCTATAAAATATGGTAAATGTATCGTTCAATGTTGCTAAATATTACTGTTCGCGCTCATAGGCTTGTTAAATTTGATTATGATTATATGATCCAAAAATATTTTACCCACTGAATACATAGACAGATGGATGCATAAAAGGATTTTGCAATGTTGACAGTCGGCTCTGAAATTTAAAACAAATCATATTTATTTGTATCGTCCCCATTCATAAAGATGCAACATTTAAATTTTGTTTGCTTGTACGCTTTTATACATAGATGTGTCTTTGTTCATTTTTGAAACCATTTTGTAACTTTCCTGATCGCGTGATAGAAGTAAAGTTAGTTGCAATATTTTGATATCTTTGCTATGTAACAAGAATGCATTGTCTGTTGTAATTTTCACAACATGAACAAGTACATAATATTTAGTGTGGTCATTGATCGAAACATTTGTGAAAAAGGGGCACTCGCAATTAAGCCCCCTGTCCACTTTTGGTCTATATTTTTTTCACTTGGGGTGGGGGCTTATTTGCAGTAAAATATGGTATTTTCTCTTTATTTCCAAATCTAGGAACAAATGGAAAATATAATGAATTTGCAGTAGCGTACTGTGAAACACTAAGAGTTATGAAACATTTTGTTTTAAAATGAGTAGTGTTTTGGTTACCTAAATGTTTTAACAGCCCGTTCCTTTATTAATTGGGAAAATATAGCATTCTTTTTTATTGAAATTGGGAATATATTCCTTGGTTTGTCATTTTGGGAAAATAAGGCACTTTTTAGCTCTAGGGGAAACGGCCTGTATTCGGCGGTAAAACAGAGCAAAAATAATCACTGAGAGTATAGGAACTCCATCAATAAATGACATTTTATCTCCAATTAAGTAGTATCAGTAGTTGTCATGTTGATACATTGCTGAAATGAAATTTGTTTTCCAAGTCTGAAAACACATGAAAAGGGCACTAGGTACAAAGCAGCTGTAGTAGATTCTGGTAGATCTATCGGCACGACGCTTACTTTCAGGGGAGAAATCTTCAATCAGATATTTTACAATTTACCAGATTTAATAGTATATTATAAATAGAAGTTGATGGAACAAGTTTAAAGGACATACATTTGAAAGGTTAGGAATAACAAGAAACATGTGGACCCCTGTATGGTTTTTCCAGCAAATATACCTGTCGTGCACATGTGATCCTTCCATATTTACGCATAACTTTGGGTGCACATGCATGTTAACATGTGTAAAGATAAATTTGCTGGTCAATGTCATTTGTGTATTTACGCATAATAACGCATTACTCTTGCACGTTCAGATTGCTGAGGATATGATTGTTTATAATGATTGGGAATATGGGCAAGGGAAGAAATCCTTATACAGAATATAACTTTCCCTACTTATGATCAAATGGACAATATCTTGCAACATATCCATTATGTATTGAAAATAATTTCAGAGACCCTAAACTTCTCCTGTAATTGATTTCTATTTATCAAATAGATGACTTAAAATATCTGCACCTTGTCCTATTCCCAGACTAGCATAGTTCACAATATCGGTCAAATCTATATTTGGTAACCAATGAAATTGTTGTAATAAAAGAAATTCTGTGATGAACAAGTTTCCAGTCACTTGTCTCTGGCTAATTATTTCTTATACATTTGACAATACTTCCCCATGCACATATCAACCTTCAATTTCAATAGATGCCCAAAGACACCAAAACATGCCCTATTTCTGAAACCTTTTTGTCTGCTCTTAATTCTCCTTGCTAGCATATATCATGTTTCTAGAAACTCTTTAAAAATAGCACTTCATCTAAAACATGTCCTTAAAGCGGAGGATATGAATTCCATGAATTTACTTGTTTTAATTATTTTGACGACTCTTCTTTCTTTGATACTTCATGTTTAGAGTTGTCGCTTTTTCATCTGCTCTTTTGATAGAAATGTTTCGATTCTAGATAATTAATGTCAAACTCTGCATAATTTGAGGTTCTTGTGTAAAAGATGTGCATTGGTTAGGTTGCCTTACAAGCGTCGGCTGTAGGCAATTTCCCTTTATCTCTGGGGTAGAGCATCGGGCTGGAGAGCAAAGGGTTGACGGTTCGAACCCCAGCGACGGCACTATCTTTATCACTATTTTTCGTATTACTACACTATGTACCTCTTTATCACAGCATAGTTTGAAGGTTGTCAAATTCATGCATTCACAAATTATCTGGTTATAGGGCCTTTGCAACCAGCCAATATCTTTCTCTCCTCTCTGGGGAGCATACAGCGTTACTGCCATTTCGGCGCTCAGGTCAAACAATAAAAATGTAGCTCTGTTTCCCAGACTGACTATTTTTTTCCTGCCCACACCAATACATTGTTTTTTTAAAAGTCGTGCACGTTATCAAATGTATTTTTTCTCCATTTCTACATCTGGACAAAACTAAAATAAAATGAACGAGCTGTAATGTAGTTTGAAACACTAAAAATATCACTCAAGAAAACGATCTTTTTATCTTAATTTAAAGGCGCATCTTAAGTAGTGTGCATGGCTTTTTCTAAGGTCTCCCAGGGGCCGTATAACGGCCCCATTCCCAACAAATTAAGGATTTTTTCCCAATTTCAGGATTTTTTCCATAAGTCTGATATTACACATTTAGACCTAAAAATCATGTTTTATGACCAAAAATAATGTACATGTTATCGTTGGAACTCTTTTGGGATGAAAAGCGTCTTGATCTACATAAACGAAGTCACTGGAGTGTTAGAAAGTAAGTAGTATTTCAGTAAGTGCTCAAAATACATGTCCATGTCGTTGTTGCACTTCTCTGACCTACTTCTACAACCTGGGTCGATACAAAATAGCGAGATTTTCAACCTGAACAAAATTAATTTGAGTTTGTATTTCGCTTGTAGAACATTACATGTATTTCATTTTTGTATAACTGGAAAATCATGGCAAAAGTTGTCTGCTTCACTTCGAAAGAGGAAAAACTCATTTATGTATTCGACACGAAATTCTTATCTAATTAAGGTTTTATGGAAAGGAATATTAATTGGACCCTGTTGAACTTTTAAATGTATGTAAACACACTATACTTTAAAAATCCGAACTTTAAAAATGTGATCCGTCAGCAATCGCGGAAAATCAACTATGGGCAGTTGGAGGTTACACGGTGCCTGTCAAGAGTATCTCACCCTAACATTGTTGGAGTAGCCCATCGGGTGCTGACAATCCCTCGGGGCCCCAAATCTCATGTCTGATGATGAGGGTCGACTCTGGTCAATAAGTTCAGGAACAAAAAATATATAATCCTGCCTTTTTAGTCGAAAAATATTGAAAATTTGGTCAATATATTGTCTTTTATTGAAGGAAATATTTTCTTATGTCCTAGAATTTTTCCCAATTTCACTTCGGCCTTTTCCCAATTTACCTAGGAAAAGCCCTGGTGTTGTGTTGCTAAACACTGCTGAAATGAATAGGAAACTTAGTCCATGAAAAATGCTTGGGTATAAAATGCAGTGAAATTCATGGAGAGAAATTTAGAAAAAACGCTGTTAACTTTGGTAGATCTATCGGCATGACACTTCCCTTCAGAGATCGGATCCTGAGCTATTCACTAGATTTAGAAGTATTTGTTAAATGATAGTTGTTAATATCTATAAAAGAAAAATATTAATTGACATCTTATAAATTTGATTTTTTTACATGAATAAATAATTATGTTTTGTGCCATTAATACTTGATTAAAACGATAACGGATATTTAATTCATTCATGGAGGTAAAATGATATACAAAAATAAAATGTTTTTCCGACCTATCTACACTGGGGAATGTTGGCTAGATGATTTGTCCCCTTTGGTATTAATTGGATTTTAGTAGAAGAAAAGTTGACTGGTCGATCCTTTCAACTTTGTACCACTTGGTATTTGTTTTTATACGACAGTTGTATGACGGGTCGTATGCGCTGCGTTGTCCGTCCATCTGTTAACCGTTTTCTTGTCTTTGTTCTCCAGCCTTTATTCATGATTAATTATATCTTGATGAAACTTGGTACATTTATTGCATACCAAAATAGCTCATGAGTTCACATTTCAGAAGTTTATGTGCATTTTTGTTGGCGTTATGCCCCTTTTATTTCCAAGTAAGTTCATTGTGCAGTAAATGACGGTTGTATACTACTATGCCCAATATGTATTGTTAACTGTGCATGCTTATGTTTTTGTAATAATACTTTTGCTAAAGGAATTGGCCAACTTTGCACCCTTACCCCAAAGTTAATTGAAGCACTGGTATAAGAATTGTTTGTTTCAGCTGCAGAATGGCACCCTTGTTGTATGTTGTCCTGTTGGTAGCTATATTGGATATCTCGCAAGCTTCAAGTGATGGTAAGTATACATGTGGATAATTACGATTGCTCATCTTCATCATAAATCATGCTTTAAAAATTTAAAACTTTCAAGAAACTTGGCATTTTATTAGGTTTTTAATGGGTAAACGCTCTCGTTTTGAAGAATTGATAAATAAAACTAGTTCATTTGTCCTTTTTTAGTGCAAACCTTCGGCTACGAAACGAAAGATCGAGGGAGTTACTTTGCTCAAACTCCAGATACACTGATGTCAGTATGGGTGAATAGAGACATACCCCTTCCACGTGGAACGACCGTTACCTCTCTTAATTACTACGTAGAACCCACACTTCCAAATGGAACATACTCTGGACAATTTTATATATGGAAACAGGTTACATCCGTGAAATACTTATTGGAACTGAAAGAAAATCTTGTCTTTGATACAACAACCTCTGGTATAAAAGAGGTAGGTACCTAATGTTTTAATATTTTGAAGGATCAATGAATTGTGTTGAAATGTTCTATTGATGCTTTTCTTGTTCTTTCAAAACTATCGGCAGCACCAGAATAGTTAGGAACAATAATGGTATAAACTAGAGCTGTACAATCAAACCTGCCTTCATGACTACCTGTCTATTGCAACCACCTTTGTGACCATGATCTTGCTCCATATAGACGGATCATACACCTCATAACAAGGCATTGCCATATCAACAACGTCCAGATTTTGTTTGTTTTTATATATGCCGGTCGAAATTTGAGGGAACATTGTGGTATGGGGTCCATCTGTCGGTCTATAAGCCCTTTGCTGTCCACACTTAGGTTTTTTGCAAGGTAAAGATAACTTATTTATTACTCCCCCCACTGGGAACCAGGGTGGACCAAGTTTTGCTGTCCGTCCTTCTATCTTGTTCGGGCTCTTATCTCCTACACTACTTATCACTGGAACTTCATACTTGGGTATGGGTTCACCTTGGTAAGGCATTGTGTATCAAAAGTAGGTCACTCTGACTTGCTTTTTCACCTTTGACCTGCATCAAAGAAAAGTTGGTCTCGTCTCCTACACCAATTACTGGAACTTCTTGCTTGGCACTTGCATTGAAGAAGCATACATAGTGTCGCCAGATGCAATAGTAAAATATTACTGGTAAACATACACCAGATTTATTTACAATAGTAGCACTGACACACAGACCCACCGTATTCAACAAGGAATAGTAACATTCATATATAGTATTAGTTCCTGCACGAATTTATCTGCATTTCACATTCGGTGGGGGACTATAATTCGCCGAATTGTCTTGTTAACTTTTGAGGGAACTTGGTATACATGTACATTGTATACAGAATTTTGATTAATTGACGATGGAAATATCTTGCAAGATATATAGATTATTGGCAAAAACTGGCATTTATTTTCATAATTCCTATGAAAAGACTATTTAAATGTTATAAAGGATACATAAAAAACATTTAAGTTGGTAAAGTACAGTTCGTAGTACAGAACTGTTGTTTCTCGTTGCATTTCCATATTTTCATGTATTAATTTCGGACACAATAATGCATTCAACGGGTCTTTTCAGCCCCCGAGGAATAGTTTCCTCGGTATTTAATTGGGAAGTAATTTAGATCCCAACCTAGCATATTTGTGGCATTTCAGAACTATAGAGAAATTTGTACTGTGAGGAAGAAGTGACCCCCCCCCCCCCAATACCTGCCATGCTGGACATTCAAGAGAAAACATCATGCTGCCAGAATTAGCTTGCGGGTCAGACCCTGCCATGCCATTAGTGACTTGTCTGTGTCTGCAGGGCATGAAGAGATTAACGCATGTCACCAGCACTAGTCCAGGGTTTAGTCCCACCATCGAAGATCAGTCCCTGGAACACAAAAGAAATATTCTCGCCCTCATAAGCACATACACAGATAATGTTCATATTTGCTATGAAGCATCCTTGGATTCCCTTTGACCAGGGAATCGGTTGTTTTAAAGAGGAATGGGGCTCCTGTTTGGGGCAATTTGTTTATCAAGTATTTCAAAAGTACAGTTTTCGTGAACAGCTTTATAAAGCATCTTTAGGAACAGGAAATAAAATGTTGTATAAAGTATGAGTATAATGCCCGAAATAACCGAGACAAGTATTTGAAGTATCGCATTTAATAAGAATATATTTACATCTGTGCCTCTTATTTTCCATTTAACATTGCCAGAGGCTTGATAAATAAAAAGACACTTGTTTGATAAGTCAAGTGTGAAAAGGAAACTTGTGCAAGATCATACATGTATTCAGTTCAATTATATTGATTAAATGTATTTTACATATGACCTATTTATAGATGCATGCATTAAGCAGTACTACAACGATCATAATTTCTTTTGTAGTTTATCTTTCCCGTGCCATTTACCCTCTGTTATGATGCAAACAGTTACTTGGGCTGGGGCTTCGACCAACAAATTGGACCTATCTCGATTAGTGAAGATTTTGAGGATGTAAACAATACTTTACTCGCTTACACAGAAGAGGGCCTCGTTGTTGATGAAGAGTACTCTTCTTTCTTTGCTTTGCCATACACCTTTTCCATTGAGTTGATCCTTAATGTTACCGGTGGTAAGTATTGCAATTTTAGCTCAACTTGTCCCAAGATCCACCATTTAACCATATGTACAAATTATTTGTAGCAGACCAATGTACTTCTACAACGATTGGCTCTTGGGTCAATCTCGCCCCTTCAGACTTGGGCCCACGGACCATAACAATGACTAAAATTGTATGAATTAGGATGTTGTGGAGTCAAAATTGAGAAATTTCAGCAGTATTTATAGTATTATTGCCATGATTCGTAATATTCCAGTTGGCTATACAGGCCCTCGTGGTCTCTTGTTAGGGACTACACTTGACTAGATTATAATCTTGCATATCTTTAATATATTGGAATGATATATGAACAGGTGGTTTCTATTAGGGCTCTGCATTGGGAGAGTAATCGGTCTGCCCATCCACTTTCCGATATCTTGGGAATCCAAAAGACAACCTTTAGAAATTTGACATGGTGATCTATTATGATATAAATATGTAAAATAATAGTTTAAAATCTTCTAAAGGTGAAGGTTACTATATTTAGATGTCCAATACGAGTTTAAAAACTTGTCAAAATCACTTGCTTAAAATGGACCATTTGAGTTATGGTGAATGAAGCACACGGACCATCCCTTGCTGATCTGCCTGTATTACACATTTTTATGCAATCGTTTACTTTCAGTTTGATATACAGTACATTTCAGAAGGTTAACATGTTCTGTTTCTTTGATCAGAAATGTGTTAAACTTGGTTATGTTGGAAAATCATGAAAATCGGGGCAATAGAAGAAACTTATCTCGTTCACCCCTGGAGACGCTTTTGAACCCTTCCATTTCAAAGATTGGAAAAGTTCATTATGAAAATTCAGGGGTGAACTATTTAATAAAAAAAAATCACAAATTTCAGCTTGTAAACTAATCTCCTGGTAATCCAGACAGCTTGATTATAACCAAATCTTTTACTTCTAGACCTGTAGCTTGATGTTTCCTAGTAAATGTGGAGAACTCAAATATTCCCTACCATAAAGAGTAACCCTATTAACGATGTACAAAATGCATAATATGCATTAAACCTGAACATGTAGGACATAATGGCTGGCATTTATTCAATTGTATATAAAACACATAGTGTTGCCCATGTCCGTCCCATCCATGACGGTCTTGCAGACATTATCTATTTTTAAATTTGCTTCTAAAGGCCATCCATGACTAATCTCCCTTCCCACACATGTTATTCTAAATATCTTGAAATGAAAATGTTTACAATATTTTCTATAGTTATTTGATTACTAGTTAATTCATGAATACATAATTACTGTGCTTTATGCAAAAACCAATACAGAATCGGAGTATAGCTAAATGTCTTAAGGCAAGAAATATTAATAAACGCAAATGAACAGCCTTTCCACAATTTTGGTGTAATGCACACATCTTAACCATATAATGGATGAAACTATCTAATTTTCACTTAACATTTTGACTATGGCTGTGAAAAAACGTTTTTGAGAAAACCATACCTTGGACTGTTGTGAAAAACTAAATATGAAATAAAATATAACCAATATCTTAGTGTTCACGTGTAAAGCTCGAGGGGCAAGATGGGATTGTTATATGGTAGTCTACCAAACTGAGCTACCTAGTCAATGGAAGAGTCGAGACCCAAATATATACTAGTTATATCCAAAATAAAGGGGAGGTTACTGTATAGATGAAGCGAAATGCAGTGGGACAGTTCATTAAATGGAATACAGTAAAAGAATTCTCAATTTGTTACTGCAATGTGTATCTATTCTTATATTTAACAGTTGGTGACCCCCCTCCACCAAGCTGTGATTCATGCTTTGTTGGACCTACAGGATTACAAGGTAAGTGGAAATCTACTTTATTCAGTAACTTCATTTTAGTCACTCATTATTTATCTGGTCATGGCACCAAGTTAAATGGAAGGAAAATTCACAGCCAGACAGGGATTTGAACCAGAGGCCCTCGGGTGTAGAATGACTCTTTACCAATTGAGCTTCCGGCAAACAACCAGTCCAGTTCTGCTATATTTAAGCATAACTTTAAAATCAATCATCTCCTGGCTAGTCAATACTGTCATGCCTTGTATAGTATAATACATATTTTTTTTTACATTCCTGAATTTGTACTTTATTTTATATCTGCATTTTACTAAAACCATAAGCAAATACAATACAATCATAACAGTTCATTAAAAGATCATCAAATAACAAGTCATCTCCCAATAGACGAAGCACAAGTGTTGTTTCGCTGAAACATTCAACATGTGTTCAAAGTACCAGCTGATGAACTCTCATTACTTATTATGACAAAAGGCCAATAGTTACTGGAGGAGACAATACGCAGCAAGAGGGGTTAAATATCCCAGGTATTATGGCAGTACTTGATCAATTACAGTTGCGGTGTCCCAAGGACGAGCAATAACGGTAATAAGAAATTTAGCCTGTGATCCAAAGTACGATATCGGTCATCTGTTATGATCACTTGTAGGGGTTTCATACTGTTGTAAACTGTTGCAAGTTATCGTCTGTACATGTTGTCTAAATGTTTAGTTTTAGCTACATATGTTGTACATGTAATTGTTTGAAATTAAGGTATTTCGAATTTAAAGCAGAAAAAAAAAGAACCATGATCGGTCACTCGGGACTATCCACAACCAAAACAATCATTATCAGTATTGCTCTTTTAACAATCGTATGTTATACAATGAAAGGTGAAATACTTGCCAAGGGAAGTAGCTCTAAGCCAGAAGCATTCCTTTTTATGTTGCATTTACTTCTATTTATAAGGAAAAAATGAAAGCTGATGTGGAAATCTTTTGAGATTATTACTGCTACAGTGCAACTTTAAACTTGAAAGTATGGTTTCCTAGCAACAATCGTTTTAACATCTTGAAAACATTACAGGTCCTGTTGGAAGCACTGGCACAATTGGACCTATTGGAGAGACTGGAGTGACAGGACCCTCTGGATCAACTGGTGAAAAGGGTACGGCCGGTGACAAAGGACAGTTTGGGGAGACCGGTTTGACAGGCGATACAGGTTTGAAAGGAGAGATAGGAGAAGGAAGCACTGGTGAATCTGGAATAAAAGGAATTGAAGGCGAGACGGGAATGCAAGGTGATGAAGGAGAGACGGGACTAAAAGGAGACCTTGGTTTAACTGGTGAAAAAGGATTGAAGGGTACTAGTGGTGACAAGGGCGTCAAAGGAGAGCTCGGGCAGACTGGAGTATCTGGAATCAGTGGAGATAAGGGACAGTTTGGACAAACCGGTGTGAAGGGAGAGGTAGGACCAACTGGTACTAAAGGATCCTTGGGACAAACTGGTACCACAGGTATTGGAGAAACAGGTCCTGTAGGTACCACTGGTATCCAGGGAAGCAAAGGTGACCTTGGACAAACTGGTGCGCAGGGAGGCAAAGGTGACCTTGGACCATTGGGATCTACTGGTGTGAAGGGTGATACAGGGTCTGATGGTACTACAGGACTGAAGGGTGACCAGGGAAATGTTGGTTTCACTGGATCAGTTGGGCCTACAGGATTGATTGGGGTGACTGGACCTACAGGTGGAGTAAAAGGTGACAAGGGAGACAGCGGGTTAATAGGATTCACTGGAGTATCTGGAGTTTTGGGAAGCACTGGAATGACAGGAATTCAAGGTAAGCACTGTATTTGTAGTAGGTATAGAAGATTCCAATGACTTGTCGATATTGATTCATTGCAAGAGGGGGAAATTGCATTACAACTTTCCAGATATGCTACAATATTACTGACAATGAAACCCTTCGAAAAAAATCTTCAAACCAAAACTTTATTGCTCATTACAGCGAGCATTAATAAACAACATGATAAACACATTTGAATGTGAAAGCCGGGTATAGATTTTAAATTTGAAGGTTGGAAAGTTTGACTGCCGAATACAGTTGCATATGGTTTCTGAATGTAAATATAACTAACAATACATGTGAATGCTATACTTTGTTAATGTATGCACACTTTCAATTGTGGTGATTGATCAAAAATACCGCAATAACTTGGTGAATTCGCTTGCAGAAATATCAAAGATTCCCTAAACAAATTTTTGTGTCGCCTGCAACGCGAGGTGACAATATAGATATTACCTTGTCGGTCACGTCAACCGAAACGAGGTTTCCATGCGATAACTTAGTTTCCTTGGGTTGATTGAACTCGTCTTGGTACACATATTGAATACCAATATAGCTCAACAAGTTCGCATTACGGAAGTTTACGTATATTTTTGGTAGAGTTATACTCCTTTTATTGCCAAATAAAGACACTGTAGTAAATGCAAGAACTTTATTTTAATCGATTCATTTCAATCAAAATTACAGTAACGCTAGAAGCAATGTTCAACATATATTATAGGTTTTTCTGTGAGTTATACTTTTCACGTTTTGGCATATCTATTTACGTGATAACTAAAAGTGCTGAGCAGGTGGCATTCCTTCCTGTGGAATTCTTGTTTTTATTGATCTTTACTGATATGAGTAGAACAATTGACATGTAACACGTCGCAACGCTAAAATGTCTTTGATAATAAGTGCTGGGCCATTAATCTAGTGCATCTACTTCGGTAAGGTGACTTAAGACTGGTCAACTACTTAATTTGCTGCATAGTAATTAGGACTGCATTGTGCACTAGACCAGAATGGGATCGGACTCTTCTTGCAAAGATATTTATTTTATCGAAAGTAAGGGACCAGGTTGGAATGTTTCCTTTATGCAAAAGGTCGATGTAACTGAATCTGGATGGATTTATTGTTCTATCGGCTTCTTAAATGGTTGATCAAACTTTATATACAAGGTCAATGTGAGAAAAGCTCGTTTGTTTCAAGGTCTCGAGGTAAAGGTATTCGTCATTATTACTAAAATATTTATAAACAAAATGTCTACCAATTCATTGTCATTTCTCTATCGACTAACTTTGGATTTTAATCGAATGTCTAGGCCTGTTATGAAAATACCTTGAGCAAGTGTTTCAGCAAGGCAAAGTAGTTTACCGTTACCCCTTATAGAAAATGTACAGTGCCCGATGTGACTTTTTATTGGAAATTGAAACCCAGCTCTTTGAGTGAAGGAGTGTATTTTAGAGTGCTTAAGTCAGTACCCGTTACTAAGAACAGTGTCAAAACAATAAAACAAATCCGTCGTAGTCACGGGAACATCATGTCTTGATCACTCTTCAAATATGAATTTCTTTACAGGTATCTCGGGACCTGCAGGAAATACTGGACCAATAGGAGCAAGCGGGGTAGCTGGAGTTACGGGATCAATTGGATCAACAGGACTTGAAGGAGCTACTGGTGATATAGGAAATACAGGGCCCAAAGGAGACCAAGGAATCCAGGGCATATCGGGAGAAACAGGGCAACTGGGCAACACTGGAGTTGTGGGCAATACTGGGCCTGTTGGAGCCACTGGTGTTGTTGGGGATACTGGAAACAAAGGAGAGGAGGGAGCAGTTGGCGGTGAAGGAGCAACTGGTCAAGTTGGCAACACTGGTACTAAAGGAGAAGTTGGTAACACAGGAATACAGGGGGCTACTGGGAATGTTGGATCAACAGGATCTGTCGGAGATACTGGCCGAAAAGGATCTGTAGGCGATACTGGAATACAAGGTCTGACGGGAGACCAAGGTCAGATGGGAAATACTGGTATTCAAGGTTCAACTGGTTCTGTTGGCGATACTGGTATTCAAGGTTTTTCAGGTGTCGCAGGAGCAACAGGAAGTGTAGGTGTAACAGGTTCTACAGGTACTGTTGGTGCAACTGGAACTCAAGGTGCAACTGGTAACACGGGACTCGAAGGGGACCAGGGTGTAGTCGGCAATACTGGAAGCAAAGGTGAAGTTGGAGCAACTGGACCTGTTGGTCAAACAGGAGATATTGGATTAACTGGGTCCAAAGGTCAGACTGGTGACACTGGTTTTCAAGGTAGCACAGGCGATGTTGGAAGCACTGGATATAAGGGAGAGGTGGGGACCACTGGCCAGAAAGGCGAGGTGGGGTCCACGGGTGTCGAGGGATCAACAGGATCAGTTGGTGATACCGGAATACAAGGAGTCAGCGGAGTGACTGGATCTGAAGGTGTAACGGGCAATGTAGGAAACACTGGACTGAAAGGCGATACAGGTGCAACTGGGGAGCAGGGCACAACTGGATTAGTTGGTAACACTGGCAGTAGTGGACCAGTAGGTAACACAGGTGCTACAGGTCAGATTGGTGTCACGGGTAATACAGGATCAGTTGGAAGCACAGGAGTTGCAGGCGATACAGGATACAAAGGAGAGCAGGGAAACACGGGTGATGTTGGGGCAACAGGTGTTGTTGGATCAACCGGAAATGTAGGAAACACTGGACCTGTAGGAGCCACTGGTTTTAAAGGAGAACAAGGAGCAACAGGAAACACCGGAGCTCAGGGGGACACTGGAAATACTGGTTCAAAAGGGGAAATTGGCAACACTGGCGATGAGGGCAACACAGGACCCGAAGGTCAGACTGGAGCTAAAGGAAATGTAGGTTCTACAGGTATACAAGGTACCACAGGACAGGTAGGCAGCACTGGTTCACAAGGGGTGGTAGGCAATACCGGAATACAAGGTGCAACAGGACAAGTCGGTGACACTGGAGTTAAAGGTGAAGTGGGAAACACTGGACAACAGGGAAGCACTGGAGTTATTGGAGACACTGGAATACAAGGTCAGACCGGCAGTGTTGGCGACACTGGATCCACTGGGAATGTCGGAGCCACTGGATCCAAAGGAGGGAAAGGAGATGTTGGGGATACAGGAGCGGTAGGAAACACCGGAATTCAAGGTTTGACAGGAAATGACGGAATACAAGGAATATCGGGTATCACAGGAGATCAAGGTATAACTGGTATAAAAGGTGAAATCGGTGCCACTGGACTGAAGGGAGATGGTGGAGCCAAAGGTGACGAAGGACAATTTGGAAATACCGGAACAAAAGGAGAGGTTGGTGTTACAGGTATATTGGGTTCTACTGGAGATAAGGGATCCCAGGGAGATGTTGGTACATCGGGATCTGTTGGAGATACTGGTGTAAAGGGAGATACTGGAGCCAAAGGAGATGCAGGAAATATTGGAAACACTGGTCCTTCTGGAATCCAAGGCCAAACAGGGCAAAATGGAGATACTGGCATCCAGGGAGAAACGGGAATCCAAGGAGTTCAGGGTTTGACTGGAGATGTAGGTAGCACTGGACCAGACGGCCAGACTGGCAACATAGGACCAGCAGGGTCTACAGGACAAGTGGGCAGTACTGGACAAAAGGGAGATGATGGAGGGAAAGGTGATATTGGAAACACGGGTGACGTTGGGAACACTGGACCCGTTGGATCAACTGGATATACAGGTATCGCAGGCTCGAAAGGAGACACTGGTAGCAAAGGCATTGCGGGACAAGTTGGCAACACGGGAGAAATGGGGTCAGTTGGTAACACCGGCATAGAAGGGGAAACGGGTGCAGTGGGTGCTACTGGTATAAAAGGAATTGGTGGGGATGATGGTAACACTGGACAGAAAGGTGATATTGGATCCACTGGGTCTGTTGGTACTACAGGCGTTGAAGGACCACAAGGACTGTCGGGCAATGTGGGTGCCACTGGAGCAACAGGTCAGGTTGGAAATACTGGTGATAAAGGAGAACAAGGACTAACGGGCGATCAAGGTGTCACAGGTAGTGTTGGAGATACAGGAATACAAGGTGTCGAGGGTGTTACTGGAAATACTGGTGCCAAAGGAGACGGTGGTGACACAGGATCGCAAGGTACACAAGGAGAGACGGGAAGCGTTGGGTCCACTGGTCAAGTAGGCGATACTGGTATACAGGGAGTTACTGGAGAAGTTGGCAATACTGGCAGCGAAGGAGATGAAGGCAACACAGGGGCAAAGGGCTCTGTTGGGGATACCGGTATTCAGGGAGCCACGGGCGATGTTGGTGTTACTGGAACACAAGGTGTGGAAGGGCAGACGGGAGCAGTAGGTGACACTGGCATTCAAGGTTTGACTGGAGTAATTGGTAACACTGGACCAAAAGGAGGGGTTGGAGATACAGGAGTACAAGGTATATCTGGTGTACAGGGTACGAAAGGAGATACAGGACCGATGGGAAATACAGGCATTCAAGGTACCAAAGGTGATACTGGAGTTCAGGGGCTAACCGGCTCGGTAGGCGACACTGGATCAAAGGGAGAGATAGGTAGTTCAGGGGATCAAGGACAGACTGGAGAACGCGGTGTCACAGGTTCCTCAGGGGTCGAGGGAAATACTGGTGCTACTGGAGATGTGGGATCTACTGGACCAACAGGATCAACAGGAGTGATTGGAAACACTGGTGTGAAGGGAGACACTGGAAATACTGGACCACAGGGAACTGTGGGAGACACTGGAGTCAAAGGAGACCAAGGCATCGTTGGAAACACTGGTATGGTCGGCTCTACTGGTAATGATGGCCCTACAGGTACCCAGGGAGATTCAGGAAATACTGGCATTCAGGGTGTTACAGGTGGTGTTGGCAATACTGGTCCAAAAGGTGAACTGGGAGTCCAAGGTGTCACAGGTAATGTTGGAGACACTGGTGTTAAAGGTGATGATGGTCTGACGGGTAATACTGGTGCTAAGGGTACACAGGGCGACACTGGAACAACAGGATCAAAAGGAGAGGTTGGTGCAACTGGAGTTGTTGGAAGTAGTGGTATCCAGGGAGTTACAGGAGATTTAGGCAGCACAGGACCTAAAGGTGGCATTGGGGATACAGGTGTCGCAGGAGATACAGGAACTAAAGGAGAAGTCGGTGCAAGTGGACTTACAGGACAAATTGGTGACACAGGTATTCAAGGTGTAACTGGACTTGTTGGCAATACTGGAGCCAAGGGACAATTTGGCAGTACTGGTGTTGAAGGAGACACTGGAGCTGTTGGGTCTACTGGCACGCAGGGAAATGCTGGTAATACAGGGGCTGTTGGTGCTACTGGAAATGTAGGTGTAACTGGAAACACTGGACCTATTGGGGCCTATGGAGATAAGGGAAGTGATGGACAGCAAGGAAATACTGGTGCAAAGGGAGATCAAGGTGTTGTTGGCAATACTGGACAGGTTGGAACTACAGGTGACAAAGGACAAATTGGCGACACTGGTGTACAAGGTTTGACGGGTCAAGTAGGAAACACAGGATCTGAGGGAGATACAGGAGCTGTAGGAAGCACTGGACTCGACGGTGTAGCTGGAAATACTGGTCCTAAAGGTGATGGAGGAGAAACGGGAGCTTCTGGTCAACAGGGAAATACCGGAGCTGTTGGCAATACAGGAGAAAAAGGTCAAATTGGCAATACAGGATCCAAAGGCAATATTGGCGACACTGGTACTACTGGAGCAAAAGGAAATGAAGGCGACCAAGGTACAACAGGACAAACAGGTACCACTGGCATTCAAGGTCAAACAGGTCTTGTTGGAGATACTGGTATCCAAGGTCAGACTGGTGGTGTTGGTGCCACTGGAGAGAAGGGGCAAATTGGAACATCGGGTGTGAATGGACAAACCGGTAATACAGGTCTCGAAGGTGATACTGGAGTAGAAGGAACTACTGGAGAGAAAGGACAAATAGGAAATACCGGTACCCAAGGCAACGTAGGATCTACTGGTATTCAAGGGCAGACGGGCAGTGTTGGTGCCACTGGAGACCAAGGACAAATTGGCAATACTGGAGAAGTTGGTGTTACAGGAAGCGTTGGCAACACGGGTGCCGTAGGTCAAACTGGAAGCACAGGTGTAAAAGGTGATACAGGTAGTGTTGGCAGTACAGGTATTCAGGGACTGACTGGAAGTTCGGGTGACACAGGTGAAGTAGGCACAGTTGGAAACACCGGTGCCAAGGGACAAATTGGCAACACTGGACCAAAGGGAGAAGAAGGCGACACCGGTATACAGGGTATCACGGGAATTCAAGGACAAACTGGAAACATTGGCGACACTGGAGCAAAGGGTGAAATTGGATCCACAGGATCAGAGGGAGCTACAGGTAGTGTAGGAAGCACAGGAAGTCAAGGTCAAACTGGAAACGAAGGGGAAACTGGTCTAGTAGGAGCAACCGGTGCTAAAGGTGATCAAGGTCTAGTTGGTTCCACTGGTGTAAAAGGAGATCAAGGAAATACTGGCAATACAGGAGTCCAAGGAATCGGTGGCAATACAGGACAGAAGGGAAATGGTGGTTCTACTGGAGACAAAGGTGATCAAGGAATCCAGGGAAATCAGGGGCTAACTGGCAATGTTGGCAATACTGGTGTCAAAGGTGAAACCGGCAACACCGGCATCCAGGGAGTCTCTGGTGTTGTTGGCTATACTGGCCCTCAAGGACAGACTGGAAGTGAAGGAGTCACAGGTGAACAGGGTAATGTTGGCAATACTGGAGTCGAAGGTCTGAAAGGAGACATTGGACAAACGGGCACATCGGGTAGTGTTGGTAGCACAGGAAATGCGGGACAAACTGGGGATACTGGAGTTAAGGGCGACACCGGCCTTGAGGGACAGACTGGGGCTAAAGGAGATATTGGAAACACTGGGTCTAAGGGAGACGTTGGCAGTGTAGGGTCTACAGGATCTGTTGGCAACACCGGCAGCACTGGATTCAAGGGAGACACTGGCACACAGGGAAATGTTGGAAACACTGGACCAAAAGGACAACGGGGAGTTGAAGGAAACACCGGTGCAACAGGAGACCAAGGTCAAATTGGTAGTACCGGACTAAAAGGAGGTTTAGGAGAAACAGGAATAAGTGGAACCGATGGCCTGGTTGGTAATACTGGGGAGAAGGGACAGACGGGAGGCACTGGAGTACAAGGAGTCACTGGTGTTGTAGGCAACACTGGTTCAACTGGTCAATCGGGAGATACGGGATCAACAGGACCAACAGGAAACACTGGAGTCGAGGGAACAACTGGTGAAATTGGTGTCTCGGGTTCAACGGGTCAAGTTGGTAACACTGGAGAACAAGGGCTAACTGGAAACACCGGTCCAATTGGATCCACAGGACAAGTTGGAAACACTGGTGTAGAGGGAGCTACAGGTAATGTGGGAGCCAGTGGGGCAACGGGTAGTGATGGAAACACAGGAGCGAAAGGTGAAACTGGAGGTGTTGGCAATACAGGTCCTGTTGGTAGTACAGGTGTTGAAGGTCAAACTGGTGGAGTTGGAGACACTGGTGTGAAGGGTGATGTAGGAAGTAAAGGATTAAAAGGAGATCTTGGACAGGTTGGAGATACTGGTGTCAAAGGAGACTCTGGCAATGTAGGAAATACCGGCACTGTGGGTGCCACAGGACCTGAAGGTAACACTGGCTACACTGGCAATACTGGCACACAAGGTGTAGCAGGACAAACCGGAGACAAAGGTGAAATAGGCCAGACTGGTTCTATAGGTTCAACTGGTAACACTGGGTCGAAGGGAGAACAAGGAATACAGGGGCTGACTGGAGATATAGGGCAGACGGGAGATGTTGGTGCCACAGGTTATAAAGGTCAAACTGGAAATACAGGAAATACTGGAGCTAAAGGAGAAATAGGCAACACTGGACCCAAAGGAGGAGTTGGAAATACAGGGGTCAAAGGAGAAGATGGCAATACTGGCTCTACTGGCTCTACTGGCTCTACTGGAGGCATTGGTGCAACGGGACTCCAAGGAAATGTTGGAAATACTGGACTCGAAGGAACGACTGGTAATACTGGTAGTGTTGGAGCAACTGGAAATGTTGGCAATACTGGTGCTAAGGGAGAAGTAGGAGACACTGGTGTGCAGGGTGCTACTGGTGTTGTTGGTGATACAGGACTGGAGGGCAATACTGGCGACACTGGATCAACAGGACCCAAAGGTAACCTTGGCAATACTGGTGACACTGGACCACAGGGTAGCGAGGGAGACGATGGCCAGACGGGCGCTCAAGGCAACGTGGGACTTACAGGACAGACGGGAAATACTGGTAATAAAGGAGATGTTGGTGCTACAGGAAATCAAGGACAGATAGGAAATACAGGAGTATCTGGTTCACAGGGCGTTACTGGAGCAGTGGGGTCCACAGGTCTAAAAGGAAGTGATGGAGTGACAGGTGATCAGGGAAATGTTGGTGATACTGGCGTCGTGGGCAACACTGGATCAAAGGGTGACCAAGGAGATGTTGGCAGCACTGGAATTCAGGGACAGACTGGATATAAGGGAGAAATTGGCACTTCTGGAGTGACTGGTGGTGTTGGAGATTCTGGAGTCGTTGGCAATACAGGACCACAGGGTGTCAGTGGTAAGTATGTTTAAACAATGAATGAAAGTATTTGAAGAGAAATTATTTTCTCATTCGGAAATGTGCATTTAAACTTTGCCAGAAATCTGTATTTCAATAGCATTTCATTATCGGTGTTTCCCCCCTAGAAATCCAAATTATAGAATTTGCAAGCGATTTAAAAGATTTTTGCATTGTTTAAAAAAATGATATTCTTAATTAAATATCGCATAGGAACTCTTAATCTAAATACAATGTAATTCACAAAATATTTGCAGCATACATTAATTTGTATTCACGGCATATATTATAAACAAGATGACCTAATCAAGTAGTAAAATTTTGTAATGACAATGACTGGTAATTGAACAGCAGATTGATGACAATTTTTTTACGCTTAGGTATTACTGGCACAGTTGGTGCTACTGGTAGTAAGGGTGATACAGGAGCTGTGGGCAACAACGGTGCGACTGGTACTATAGGATCAACGGGACAAAAAGGCCAAGCAGGAACTGATGGTGTTACAGGACCTCAAGGTGAGGATACTGAATGCTTTATTAAGTCCCTACCAGTGCTAAAGGGAATATATAGATTTGCACTCTCACAATAAGTTATGTCGCCATCATGGGCATATTTTATTTACTCTTAATATCGTTACATGATATCAAGTCTTCTGGTAACTCGATATACAGTGATTATTTTTGGAAGTAGTGCCCTTACAGAACTAAAAATATTTATTTGGCCCCCCGTTTCCAATGTCTGCATAGCACAAATATCGGACCCTTTTGTATGCCGAGTGACACTAGTGGTAGTAAGAAGCGAGTCTTTTTGGTACGCGCCCGCATGTTGTGTCGCACAACACGATGCTTCCAAGCACAGCTGTATTTAACATGTAATGTCCAGGATCGGAGTAGCAAGGAAATCTTAAAACCAAAATCACATGGGCGTTTGTCTCGTGTCGACATAGTTTGGTTAAATGGATTGCATAATTTATCATCATTTTCATGATTGTTTTTGGATTTTCGATTTTTTTGCAAATATTTGGTACAAATAAATATAAAACTGCAAATGTAATTTTTAAATATAGAACTGTCTGAATTTTGTAACGTTTCACAAAATTGGATTAATATTATTAAAGTCAATCATAACTTTAATTGACATTACCTTTTGATTTATTGCCATACATTTGAATACAAACAATACTCGGTATTTTGTTTAGGTCACCTATTGCAAATTGTCAATTGACTGCTTTTTGACATCATCGGTCCGAAAACATTTTACTCGCACCAGGCAAAAAACATGGTTTTTTTTCCTCAAATTTTCACACCCAAAAAGGTAACCCAAACACTGCAATATATAATTCTTGCCCCCAGGGGCAAGAGGAGTGCATCTGCCAAAATCCACTAAAATATACCAATGATTTCCTTGTGTAACGGGAAAGAGTGTTTCCACCGGGGATGAATCCTCGATCTCCAGATTCCTAGTTGGACACTCTACCACCGAGCTAAAGGGGAAATTGCCTCTAGCTCGAAGTTGGAAGTCGACCCAATCCTAGGTACAAATAAAACCTGCCACACTTGAATGGGAAGGTCTCCAGGTGCTTTATTAAAATCGCTATTGAACTAAATCTCGTAACTCGGGGCCCGTGGACCAACTTATCATTTTTTTTGGAACTGCAAAATGAATTTCTGAATTCTGTTCAGATTCCCACTAATACTAATATGCAGTACTATATTGCACTGGGGTTTAGTTTTTATACGACGGGTCAAATTTGACTAGTATTATGGTATGGGCTGGCCGGCCGGCATAAACTTTTGTTTGTCCGGCAATCTGTTACATTTTTCGACCGATCTTTTTGAAACTTAGTCTACATTATAATCATGATATGAAGTTGTCTCTTAAAAGAATCGATTCACCATTTTTTGCAAAATTTATTGCCTTTTGTTCATTTCACTATTTGATTTTTTGTCCGAAGATTTCCTCCTACATATTTTATAGCATATCGGCTAACCACTCTTGTTGGAAAGTATATAACGCTATATAGCATTTGACGGGCATATTTTGTTCCGCCCCGCGGTACTCTTGTTAGGTATTAGTTCACACCATATCTAAGTTTGTAACTTTTGTATTTTCAGGTGAAACTGGACCCTTGCCCGATGGTATGTATTTGTTCTGAGGCTCTTTGTAAGTATTCGCCAGCATGGTGATATATATTTCTATTGTATATCCATTGGTTTCTAGTTTCAGAAAAACTTGCAGTGGGTTACATATTCGATCAAGAACTTGAAAGTTTCCTGTATTTTGTTAGGACTGGGTCATTCTGCGATTGATTCGCTGTACATGTTTATCGCAGAGTAACTGATGAATCTTTGGATTTGCTACCTTAACCTCGAGCGTACTTTCAAAATCCCCCTGTTTTAGAGGGATCTGTTTTTGCTTTATAAATCCTAACTGCCTACATCTTATTCACGATCTCGCTGCGTAGACAAAAAACATTTCGTTTTTTGTCTGTTCACTCATCGTTCGATACAAAAGTTTGCTTTGCACACTAGCCTAATAAATGTGACACTTGAATTACATTATATATCTCCGCCAAATCTTTGAATAATTATTAGCTTTTAATGAATCAAATTTTCTACTTGCAGTGACTAACACCTGCGACACTAGTAACGGTGGATGTGCACACAACTGTAAAAATGTGTTCGGAGCCTATATCTGTAGCTGTAACGCAGGATATGTTCTTGCTGCTGACTCCCATGCCTGTGATGATATCGACGAATGCTCTTCCTTTGGACCCTGTCCTCAGATCTGCACCAACACCGCTGGTAGCTACACCTGCAGTTGTGCTCCTGGATTTACGCTAGAGGCTGACCAGCGAACCTGCTCTGGTAAATCAGTCTATTATAACATCCTTATTCACAAGTACATTCTAGCCAGGTCATATTTACTACACAGCATCAACATAGTATTTTTGATACAACACGTACCACATTTTCAATATTATATCCATGGGAACTGTTGTCATAGTTTCAGAAAGTAATAATCATTCAGAATTTGCTATATTAATGGGATTTTGCTGTTTATGGTATAACAATTTGATATACACTGTAATTCTATCATCAAGGTTTCCACATTCAGTATTGGCCCATATAATCTGCAAGGAAACCAACTAATATAAACAGGCGAGTGATGGACGACTCTCTGGTTGTAATATACTGAAGTTATATAACTACATGTACAGGTATAGGATTTCCTTGTATGCCATCATAAATGATATGCACCAACAGTAATTAAACCATCAAACTTGTTTGCAGATATTTTCTCTGTAAAACAAATTTCAATTGGTTCGGTGTAGAAGTATTTTGCTAATGGGCTTACACGGTCGGTCGTAAGCGAAAAGTCTGCCCATTATCTCTTGCTTACTGCTGTGAATCATGTTCTGACTCGATATTACTATGATACGTCATAAGTCTGCCCAATATTACCCGTCATTAAATATAAGTCGGCCCAATATTACCAGTCGTTAAATATACGTCGGCCCAATATTACCCATATGATATAAGTCGAACCAATATTACCCGTCGTTAAATATAACTTGCCCAATATTACCCGTATGATATATATAAGTCGACCCAATATTACCCGTATGATATAAAAGTCGGCATATTATAAACATGGCGGCCATGAAAGATCATTCGGTCCAACATCAATATAAAGTCGTGAAACATAACTCGGCACAAATACAACATTTCGCACCAGCATTTATCATCAAACTGATGGATCTGTTAACCTCGCATCTGCTGAGTTTCCTCAATCACTGGTTGCTGCATGTATGCAATGGAAATTGTTAACGGTGATGTGGAAGAGGAATTCGGATTCTTGCTGGATACAGCAAAAAGACCAGAATTCTCAGTAAGGAAATTTTTATTATCAATGATGTGAAGGCTCTGTTTTTTAGTTTTTGGATTTGCAATATTGGCAATTATTTGTAGGCCAAACATTTTTTTTTTTAAACATTAAAATATTTTTTTGGTTACAATATCGAAGAATGTTTATGCTTTCAAAAAAGTAAACCTGCCAATAAATAGCTGAAACAGAGCTTTCACATTTATCTTTTATTAAAGTAGATAGGAGGGCTTCATTTTTATGATAATTGGAATATTCCAGTCCTAAACATACAGCCTTTGATTGAGGACATTCAGTATGGATGCATAAATGTTTATCCCAAAACAATGCAATGCAAAAAATGTTTAAATGAAAAAGAATAAATATATGAACGGAAAAGAGTTTCATAATATATTGTTATTAAAATCCATTAACTAGATGCCCTTCCTGAATATTTTATGTTGATAAGTTTATGCTCCATGTTGAATGAACTTTAAAATAACTCATTTTCTTGCAGATATAGACGAATGTCTTCAACTAGACACCGTTGAAAATTGTGCTCGTAGTTGGTCGATGTGTGTAAACGTCCCAGGATCATTTGTCTGTGTTGGCATCAGTCTAACGAACATAAGAAGGGCCAGCGTTCAAGGAAGTGGTGAGTAGTACCATTACAATTCAGCATGGAGCCATTTATAATGGATATGTATCGGTGCTATCCAATTGGTGACCAAGAATAACTTGACACTCAATCCATACTAAAGGCCAAGGTAACTGTCATTTTGTACTACGATACCGAAGGTGAAAGGTCATTCTGTACCTCTATACCAAAGGTAAAGGTGGTGGGATTCTGTCAACATAGGGATGTCACGGCTCAGGAATTTTTCGGTTCGGTTATCATTTTTGTTGTCTGTTTTCGGTTATTTCGGTTCAGGCAACTTTGTAATCTATGTATTTTGTTATTTTATTTTTTTATTAAATTTGTGTACTTTACGGGATCCAACTCATCAATGTCCGCCCATATCGTACATAATATACATATATATACCGCTATGAAATCGGGTGAAAGTCGTGCGTAAAAACTTTAAATGCAAAGGATCTGATTTGTATTGGAGTAAGGCCTCGTGTTGTCAACGTTTTCTGAACTGGGCCCATGTGTTGAATGCAGTTTCGTTCGTAGCTGCCGATTTCAAAGTTATATTAGATAATATATAGGCAGACATTGATTGAAGAGGTTAATCCCGAGGAGTGTTTAATTTTTGTTATACATATATCCAGTGTTCAGTTACCGTCTTGTGCACAAGACCGCCTGCGAGAAAATCCAAGTCGAAGCTGCCATTTCAAACCATCCTAAAGAACAGTCGTACTTATTATTGCGGTTGCATGACTATGGAGTCGGGGGGCATGCATCGATCGAGATTGACACAAATAATACACGCCTTTGCTGCTACCAAACAACTACGACCCACTTATACAGAACCGAACCGAAATACGGAAATTATGAACCGAACCTAACCGTTATTTTGGTTAACCGTGACATCCCTAGTCGACATACAATAATAAATGTGGAGATATGAAAAGAAATTATTGATAATAAAAGAATTGATTAACAAATTAATATTATCAAATGAAAATAACCTGCACCTATAAATTAATATTTCCAGATGATCAATCCTGTAAAAAACAAAACGGTGGATGTGCCCACATATGTACCCAAGTGACCGGTGGACATGAATGTTCCTGTCGAGCAGGATACCAACTCGACAAAGAGGGAGCCCTCGGTTGTACAGATATCAATGAGTGCGACAGTTGGCCATGCCAGCAGAATTGTACCAACACCGACGGTAGCTACCAGTGTAGTTGTGACGATGGCTTTAAACTTGGTGCTGATGGACAGACATGTGAAGGTATGGCAAGACCTGCAACAAATGATTTTGATTGGTGTTTAGGCTGGTAACCTGTATTGCCCTATTGATTGTTTTTATATCGGTCATCACGTCTGGCTGTTGATTCACATAGGTGGTGAAGGATATACATAGCAATAAGATTCGGGAATGAAGTTGTGAAGGGATGTAGCAATCTGTTGGTACAATCTCCAGCACTTTCATTTCTTATGTAGATTTTTATCAAACTTTATGCACTAGTCGAGAATACGTGCACGTTGAACAGGTTTATTAAGTACGACAAGACGGTTACTTTTCAGACGATCTTGATGGTCACCCCAGCATTAATTCATTTCTAAATGAATTTCAATAAAAATTCATCCAATAAGTCAAGAGTATATTTTTGTTTCAGCAGTTGATGCGGAGGAACAGGTGCATTATTTCATTTTAAACCTAGGGTTTACAGAATTTAGTGTGCTCCATAACTAAGCCCTTTTGACATGCTACAAGGCATATCATCTTAAGCTACATACACTTTTGTGCATGCAAGGTGTTTTTATGACTTTCGGTGCCTTACGTTTAGCAGTAATTTATGTATTTTTTCAGCACGGAAACTTTGTTCAGACGGTAGTAATGGAGGATGTGACCACATATGTCGCCAGCTGTATGGAGCTCGCAAGTGTTCCTGTTTGCTAGGCTACGAAATATCATCGGATGGATTCACCTGTAATGACCTCGATGAATGTGCTTTATATGGTCCTTGTAATCAGCTGTGTAGCAATAATGAAGGTGGATTTGACTGTAGCTGTTTCTCTGGCTTCACACTGGAAGTCCACACTCATTTGTGTAAAGGTAAGTTATAGAACTATTCCAACCTTTGAATTGGAAGAGTCCAATTCTTCTAAGTGAGAACGAGTTAACTAATTGGGTATTGAGGTAAAGAGTACCATTGCACAAATTAAAATTCAGTTTTCTGCCAAAATGATTTCCAACTGGACAACGGCAAATCAATCCTAAAGTACCAGCACACTTCATTGAATTTGCCTTTGTCCAGTTGCTTTGGCATTCCTATTTCCCTATGAATACATCAAAATTTCGTGCATTATGTAACTGTCGGTTTGATCTGATCAAACGAGTCTTTTGTGTACAAAAATCTACTTCCATTAAATCAAAATGCTTTTTTTTTTACTATAACATTTATTTTCCAGTTTTTAGGTAAAAGATTACTGCCAGAGTTGGATCTGGATTCAGTAAATCTTGCAAAATATTTGTCCTCATACATGAGGGCTGTCATTCGTCATTCTTTATATTTTGTTCGTTTGTGCATTCATTTATGCATGCATACATCGGATGCTTTATCTTGATTAAGACTTGGAAGAAATTCTTAACTTGTGCATCAAATTCCGATGTGAAAGTAGTTCATGTTAATCCCCAGGTCGAGCTTTAAGGTCAAGTGATTTTTCAATTCTTGATTTAGCTTTCTATAACTTTATTGTCCACCTAACTTTTTATTATAGATATAGATGAATGTCAGAATCAGGAAGCATGTCCCTTGTACAGCACTGTATGCCTAAACACCCTGGGTTCCTACAGTTGTGTAGACTTTTTGGCGAGTGTTGCAAATGACGAGTCCAATATCGAGGATGGAAATGAATTTGATCTACAAGGAGGTATGTTTATATATTTTCTGCAAGTGAAAATTTGATTGTGGCATTACTATCATACTACACTTCCTCGCATTTTGCTAAGGATCACTTTATTTTGGCATATATTTGGTTTAAACTGATTAGTTTTGAAAATTGATTGTTCTGTTAATTCATCAGCATGCAAAAATTCCAAAAATCGTAATTACAGTTGGAAAATGAGCCACAGGAAAAGGGTAACTCTTAAAATTGGTAACGAGTCACCCTTGCTCCGTGACCTAGCATTATCGTCCATAGGGATGAAGTCGGTACCGATATTGCCAGCGTACAGTCAGACATGGGCATGAACGATTTCATCGCAGTAAATCCGATTTCCTTAAAAATTTGGGACAAATGCCCTAGCTTAGCTTTTTAAAGGGGTGTACACGATGAAAAATGTGCACTCGCTTTTATGGTAGACTGAACACGCCCACAAGACTATTTGGAAGGCAACATTTGCCCAAAACAGTACGGTAGGAAAATATAATATCCTTTATAGTGAGATTCTTCACACTAACCACACGGCAAGCCACTCATTATACAAAAGGCAAATGAAAACCAGTAATACCAGTGATATGAAATAGGCAGTTTATTCACAAACGACATAAATACAAACCTGTATACATTACATGTCGCTACACAGACCTAAAACACATGTAGTCATTGTGCAATATCCAATAGTGTCCTGCTGGGTGTCTTCGGCAGTATTTTATGTGAGGTAGCGCTAAAATCTGCATCGGTTCCGCGCTATCAAAAGGAGACTAACCCTAACATATTGCAGCCTCCCAAAACATGCACGCATGCATTTTGCACATGGGGGAGGCTGTCCTTAAATGACCATACCTGTTGATACGACGTTAAACAATACTAAACCAAACCAATGAGTATGACTATTGTAGGAGGGGTGCAAAAACTGCCCTGTCCCTTAAATACATGTAGTAGGTATACAAAATCCAATTGTGAATATATTGACTTTCCTAAGAGCAAACATAGTACCCTAACGAGTATTTAAATATTCACATTACTTGGTGGAGATGAGGGGATGGAGGCGGGATAAAAATGTACAAAACGTCTTTCCTTTTTTCCCCTCTGACAAAATTTGTTCAAGTGACGCTATCGCCCGTGACATGTGTTCTTGCCCGTCCAGAGGTAAATAGATCATGGTATGTTTTGATCAATAGATACAGAGGCAGGAAGTCCTATTGCCTATAAAAAGTTATGCGCAAATCCACACTATAAATGCAATTAAATTCACTTTGTTTTTAATTATTATTTAAACATTTTGATAAATTTTTTTCAAAATATAAGTGATTCTTAGCAAAATGCGGGTAGTAAACTTTGTTTAAATAAACTCGTTTTATGCCTATCGTGTGTTTATGGGCCGTTAAGCAGTTGCTAAAAATAATACTTTTTGCATTACACAAATGTTCATGGTCAAAGTTGAAGAAACAAAGACTAGAATTTTTAATTCATTTGCCTGTAAATTGTTAAATGTCAATCTTTCTGAAGAACATGATAAGATCTATGTTTTTTCCTGGGCCGTTAAGCAGTTGCTAAAAATAATACTTTTTGCATTACACAAATGTTCATGGTCAAAGTTGAAGAAACAAAGACTAGAATTTTTAATTCATTTGCCTGTAAATTGTTAAATGTCAATCTTTCTGAAGAACATGATAAGATCTATGTTTTTTCCTGGGCCGTTAAGCAGTTGCTAAAAATAATACTTTTTGCATTACACAAATGTTCATGGTCAAAGTTGAAGAAACAAAGACTAGAATTTTTAATTCATTTGCCTGTAAATTGTTAAATGTCAATCTTTCTGAAGAACATGATAAGATCTATGTTTTTTCCTCTACAGATTACCTTAGTGATGACCATGTGGGAGCCGCCGCTGAAGGGAATGCATCCCCACAAACTTTATCTAGTACCCAAATGATGATCATCATTGGTGTTATGGCTGGCATCATTATCCTGGTGGCGCTTGGTGCTTCCATTGCTTGTATAATTGTATATCAGCGTATGGAAGGACGTCCACGCAAGGACTCTATGGCAGGACTCCTTGTTCCTACTCACATGCGCAGTGCTTCAACTTGTGGTGACGTAGAATCTACAGGAGCATTCAACCCTTAGAACATTTATTACAACATCAAACACAACTGAAAATTAAGGAATTGGAAACTGGACTGCTGTAATGTGTGCAACACAAGTATAGGAATCCACTTAAAAACTGTTCAGTTTTTAACTTTATAAATGTTCCGTTATACTTATGAAAACCAAAGATATAATTTGTCTTGATTTGTGCTGTATCCTAAATGATCATAGACAAATTGTACCAAACCAAAATCTTCAGTGCTGGAAAATTGTGTCCATATTGATAATGGTATTGCTGTCCAAATATAATGCCAAAATTTATAAACACAAATTTGATTTGTTAATGAAAAATCACTTGAATTTGTTGACTTAAGCTGTTAAATATCTTCTTGATGTATCTTTGGATATGTTTATTTTTTAAAGAAATTGACCATGTGCTGACAATTTTTTTCCTGCCCGACAAATACATCATCAAGCAAGTTAAAAATTCCTTTATAAAAGCCATGTTTCAAATTATTGTTCAAAATAGCAACTGGTCTTTAATAAAAGATTATTTAATTGTTTACAGGATTTGAGTGTTGTAGTGTATTACAACGCAGACTATACTTTGAAATACAGCTGATGTCTCCAATTTCTGCTTTGTTTGTTGTGTACAGTAGTAAGTTTATGAGCAAATCCTTTGCAAATGTCGGCTGCAACCTCGTCTGGTAGAATTTAAATTCTGGTGCACATGGGCATGTCACGATTCCCAACCCCACAGGTCCTATGTATGGGTCCCATGTATGGGTACTATATTTGAACCAAGTGGTAGGATAATTGGGTCGCACCCCTGTACATTCACATTTCCACAAAGTCCTTCTATAAGCATTAGCATAGGAATGGCATTCATTAACCATGTTGAAGGTTGCATTCCCGTCTCGATAATGCACGACAACTGTAAATTCGGTAAAATAGTCGGTTCCAGGAATCGCTTGCAAAGACGGTAGACTTTCATACCGAAAATATAAGGGAATACTTTTATTTATGAACAGCATAAAACATTGTGGAAATGCTTTACAATCCATATAGCAAGACCTTTTTGTTTAGCCCACTACACCACTGCATTGGAGATATATACAGGCAGTAAACTTGAGGGGAATAAGTATGATCTTGACAGGTGTAGAATATATAAAGGTGAATTATTACCAACGAGGTTGCCATTTAACGTGTCACAAAGTGTTTTGCCACTAAGGTACCAAGTTCACCCTAGAATAATTCCTGCATCGAAGTATATTGATGGACTTTGATGGAATTGAACAGATGTATACGTCTGTGTCAAACTTTCAGATGTGGTCATAAAATTACCAAAAAGGTGAGTAAACTAAAGGAGGTAAGGTTACAAATGTTGGCATCTTTTTGAAGGAAATTGTAAGAATGGCAAGATATGAATGGTCATATACCTCCGAACACAATTTTCATTTGAACCTTTTGCATTCAGTCTGCCTCTTACATTGTAGATATCGATGAATGCCAGAACGCTACAATTTGCTCGGAAAATTGGTCACAATGTGTAAACAACTTGGGATCTTACATCTGCGTCTCCATTACCATCAGACTAAGGTCATTTTTCCAAGCAGGTACGTATCGAAGACTACATTTGATTTGGTAATATTGTGCAAGCAGACTTAATTTGACTTTTGAGGAATATGTGATATCTACCTGAGAAAAACGCCTTAAAAATCGCATTCACCAAAATTAAGGTCAATAATAGATAAAGTTGTGCTGTTTGATCATTAAACAACATTAAACACATAAAACCATGACAAAGCTGCATTTAGCAGAGGGCATTGTGATATCATTGAATTGACCTCAAAAAGGTGTTTTATAACATATTGACTGATCGGTATCGCCAATTGCCAACCTCGCCATGATCTACCGATTGAGAATGTAGGGAAAAGTTGCCTAGTGTAGTCGAACAAAATTGAAATGATACTTTATTTAGATACAATCGGAGTAAAAGTGCCTATTGACTTTAATTATCCGTTATTGCCATTTTGATGCCTACCGTGCTTGATGTTCCTAAAGATGGTGGCAAGTCGTGTGAGCAAAACAACGGGGGATGTTCTCAAACCTGTACCGAAGTTAGTGGCGGATATCAATGTTCCTGTCAAGATGGGTATGAACTTGACGAAAGTGGCCATATTTGTGAAGACGTAAATGAGTGCACAAACTGGCCATGTCAACAGGCCTGCGTCAACACTAAAGGAAGCTACCAATGCAGCTGTGATGATGGTTTCCAGCTTGGCGAGGATGGACAGACCTGTACAGGTATGGAACGGTTGAATGAGTATGAATTCTGCATTTCTTGTGTAGCACTAGCTAGCATGTGGATCAGTTTTAGGTGTACTATGATTTAATGTTTTAGACTTATTTGTAATTTAAAGCTTTACGAAATGACCTGAATGCTTCTGGTACTTGGGTAGCCACTCTGACGGCAAGGAACAGTCTTCATGATGCTGGTTTAAGGTGGCGTAGACCAGCAATACGAGTTCCCTTAACTGCCTGCCATGTTGGAGACGGATTAGATTGGGCCCAATCTCGCAGCACTCGACTCTTCAGGAATGGGAACCGGTCCTTTGTACTGACTAGTCCACATTCTGTCTCTACTTCACGACGGGTGCGTTGAGTATGGAGACAACCTGGGTAGAGGTTCCAGGCAGGTAACATTGTGGAACATGACCGAAATGGCGGAAGTTCACTCCTTAATTATTGGTTATTCTGTTTCAGTGAGGAATTCCTGTTCTGATGGTAGTAATGGAGGATGCGATCACGTCTGCCACCAGCTGTATGGCGCTCGCTTATGTGATTGTCAACAAGGCTACTCTTTAGCTTTGGATGGTTTCTCCTGCGAGGATATTGACGAGTGCTTCCTGTACGGTCCCTGTAACCAAGCGTGCAACAACACTCTAGGTGGATTTCAATGTAGCTGTTTCGGTGGATACAAACAAAATGGCACCAACATGTGTATAGGTAAATGCGCCGTACTTTGGACATATTGGTCCCAATGTGCGATTGCTGTTCACTAGTAACGTCCTGACTTCACTCATTAGGCCCAAAGGGGCACCACCCTATGGGCTAAAATTTAACCAATATTTCTAATCTGGAAGAAAGGATTCGGAGGTACTTTTATAAAAATAAGTGTCAAACTATGCCAATATATTAAATGGTGGTTCATTTGGGTGATGCATTGGGCAGCATAGCAAAGCTTCTTGCTTTTGACTTTATTTTTGGAGTTCATATCGTTCTACTAGAACTGGTATTATTTATGATGCGAGGAAATGATTATATACAAGTAGTGGAATGTTGGGTCTTAAACTGTTGTATACCAATCGTTTTGTTAAATGACAAGTCTTTTCTTTACAGATATTAATGAGTGTGAAGACCCTAGCGTCTGTGATGGCTATGTATCGGCATGCCTCAATGGCCAAGGCTCCTACAGTTGCATCGCCCTAGACACTATAAATCTGGCTAATGACCATATAAGCAACGACTTTTATGGAGGTAGGAACAGTCTATATTTTAAAGATGTGAATTAATTAGGTTGCCTTACAAGCGTCGGCTGTAGGGAATTTCTCTTTTAGCTTGGCGGTAGAGCATCGGGCTGGAGAGCCAAAGGTCGCGGGTTCGAGCCCCAGCGACGGCACTTTCTTTATCATTTTTCCTCGTCCTACTACATATATATACTGTTTACATTTTGTTCCATTTTCATACTAATATGAAATACTAATGTTGAATAGTGGTTTCCAGATCATAAGAGTATTTGAAATCGGACTGCATTAAATGATTAATTACCAAATATGCTTCAAGATATGGTTTATATCGTATAGAGTTGAATGTTACTTTTATTCATGAAATGAAATTGTAGTTTTTGTAGTACATGGTTAAGTTATGGAGTATAATATTAATTCATAATAAGATGAATATAATTTGCTTTCTCTGGAAATGTTGGTGTACTGAATGGCTGTCACTCGAGCATTGTATACCAGGAAACTTTAGCCCAGTCAAATATTCACCCTTTGCAGATAAAATCCATGTTCCCCTAGTGTTAATTTCGTCATTCACATGAAAAATTACAATAGCTTTTACGTAAGGTACTCCATATTTGCTGTCGTGATAAATTCACTCATTGAGAAGGGCGAAAAGGCAAGTTTCTAGGTTTACAGTAATCGGGCAATGCTATTTAAATCTTTTTAAAGGGAGATAACTTGTAAATCTTGTTATTTGTAAGGTAACAAGCTAAGTCTGTTTGTAACTAGGACGGACGACTCCCATCTTCAACTCTACCTCCTCTTTGCTACATGCTTTGTCCCTTCTATTTTTCATTTTCAATCTGTTCTCGTCTGCTGAAAAGCCGCAAGGTCGTAATAGCGGATGTTAAACCATCAAATAAACCAATGTTTAACTGCACATATTTATCAATTGTCTATTGTAGATCTGCCAGTAGGTAATAACACTATCGAACCAGATTCTGCTCTTGCTCCCGAATCGGAGGCTCTGTCTTCCAGTACTCAACTGATTATCATCGTCTGCGTGATGGGTGGCGTCGTTTTGCTCCTTATTATTGCTGCTGCTGCTGGCTTTATGATGTTGTTCAAACGCATGGACGGGGGAAAGATCATCGGAGACACGGGGTCGCAGCTTCACAGACCACGAGCTGGGGATGTCGAGTCCCTACCTAGAGGGGGATCCTGTGTAGGAGAACAGCGAAGTTACACCTTTAACCCTTAATGGGAAAGTGCTATTGTAGAGGAATACCGCCCTCCTCTTACAACTTTTAGTGATGGGAGATGAACCGTCGAGGAAAAGTGCTAAAAACTGATTGCATTTTGAACTGTTGAATGGACTAGTGCTACCGACCAATCTGCATTTTGAAAACAATTTATCAATTGGTTGACTTGATTCATATGAAGATGTTGAACCATGGATGAACTTATACGAAAAATAGTTTCATCTTGAACATTACTTTCGAAATATTTGTTTGATGTTTTACATAAGATTATATTTATCTGTTAAAAATTGTTTTTATTAAGTTTCAAGTGTTGCTTAAAATATATACGTTGTGAACAATATATTGAGAAACTGTCCCGACAGCATTTTCTTGGAAACTAGATACTGACACTATATAAGATCTCGTTTTGTATTTCACAAGGAAAACATTTGATTACATGATACCATTTATATCTACATATGCATACCAATTGATTTTTTTTTTCAATAAAAATACCCATCTCTATTAACTTGTTGGTCTTTTGATTGCTTTGTGTTCGGCCAATAACAAGTATCACTGTATTTGTTATCACAAGTGGTTTTTCAAATATTCAAAATTTATAATTAAGTAAAATGCATTGCAGTATTCAATTTCTATGGAATGAATTCTTTGAAAAGGACTCGACAAATATTTCAGATAAGTAGTAATTTTGATATTTTAACTTGGCACCATTTACCTAATTCTGGACAGTTTTTAAGTATTAACGTACTGTACAAGTCCTTAGTATGTGATGCTAATGAAACACAAAAGGTGTCGAGAACCATCAACAACTCGCCTAAAAGTAGTTCAAAGAAATTTTGTACAGAGAAAAATATCCATACAGA